CTGCCTCCTACCGGTCTTCAGGATGACCATATATATATTGCTGATGTACCTAGCAACATCTCCTCCTTTTTCCTTCCTGTCATATTTGAACAAGCTGCACTTGACTATACCGGAGTTCCAGTCATGAGAGGTCTCCCACCAAGTCATATTTTAGCTTAGTACTAATACTTCCCCTGCTGTCCATTTCTTCCCAAAAATGCAAGCTGTAGGGGGAAAACAGACACCACTCACTTCTTCCTGTCGGGCTTTCTTGGAGATGTATACACAGGCCAAATTCCTAGCAAGTTAAGACCAGGACCTGGGTAAAAGCCTCCCGGGTCAGGATACCTGTCTGAATTGGTCCCTTGCAGATCCAGGCAGAGGAATAGCTAGCTATAGTGTTGCTAGTGTGCCATTTTCCTCCCATTGAGAGTTCTCCCTTGTAGAGTACCTGCAAGTTAAGGGGGAGAAAAACCCATACACTCTCTTTCCAGCCATTGGTGAGCTTAGCTGGTTAATTCCTCTAGTCTCCCATGTGCCTTCATCTTACCAGTGACTGGCAACCTCCCTGCTTTCTAAGGCCTGGGCCTTCACACAGCTGGCATTGGCGACTCACCCCCTTTCACTCAGCCCCTGCTGATCAGTGGCACTGTCCAAAAAACTCCACTTCTCACAATTCAGTAGTCCTACTCAAAATCACTTAACTGCAGTGCAACCTAGCCCAGCCAGCAACGAAGCCTACATTTCAAATATGGCAAACACAGCAAACCAGCCCAGTATTCCACCAAACTCAGTGGAATGTTCCCAGTCTTCCCCTCTCCCATCGTAGGTCTATGTAGCAGAGAATTAGTGACAATATATAATATTTAACCCCCCTCAATTAATCAATGGAAATAAGATAGAGGTGCACCTGCTGACTAACTTAGATGCTTTCGTCTTCATACTACTGAATACGTGCCTCTCTCTACCAGATTTGGCTACTGAAAACTGGCAAGCTCTTTGTTAACATTCTTGTGTATTTTCTTCTCCCTAGTAGACACATTTAATTTTAAATCTTTCATGGTATGTTAGCTGGGTTATTAGAAACCAATAATCCACTCTTCCATAGTAAAGGTGTTATTAAACTGTTAACTCTGCTACCAATTTAAGTGAATTAGATAATGAGAATGCATTGATGTTTTTAAGGTTCATGACACTTTGATTAATAAGACAATATACAATCTAAATGCTTTGTGAAATGGACTGTAAAAGCTACTTTGTAAAACCACAGGAGCAACTATTTGACTTAGAATATTAATCATGGCAAATGTGTACAGATCTTTCACTACTTACTCAGGCAAAATTCCCATGAAACTTTAGATTGCATAAGTAACATTACATCAGATCACAAATATCCTTAAACTCAGTGGCACTTTGAAATTATTTGGTAGTTCTGTCACATTGAACCAGTGTCATATTTAGTATCAATATTTTTTCCTTTGTAAAAATCCATAAACTAGTCAGAGAACAGTATTTACAGTCAACTAGACTAGTGAAGAGAATATAATAAGGCAATAATAATGAAATGGTATTATAGCAGCACACACTCGACAGAATGACAGGCAACAATTTTGCTTTGGGTAAGTGGGCTGGAATAATCATAGAATCATAGAATAATAGGACTGGAAGGGACCTCGAGAGGTCATCGAGTCCAGCCCCCCGCCCTCAAGGCAGGATAAGCGGAGAAACCCTTCATTGGTGTCAGAACATAAATGGGTTCTTGCAGTAGCTTGCTATAGAACATCTCTTCATTTAGACCGCAGACACATGAGGTATGTCCTGGAACTACTCTTCAAGTGTGTCTGCATATATAATTTAGGAAGGACATTACAAACCATTAAAACAGTAACAAAATTAGTCAACCAGGGTGGCAGCTCTACTGATCTGAGCTGCAGTTTATTATTTGTATTACTAGGTAGTGATTCATAATCTTAGTAATCACCCTATCCAAGCCCCACCAATACAATATTTTTGCAGACAAAAAAACAACAACTATTATTATCACAGTATACTTATTCCCTAGTCCTGATCTGCTATTGTGGAAGATAAAAAAAAGGAGAATACAAGACTGATACACTCTATTAATTAACTCTAAGTTATCCTCACTGCAAACATCTCTTTCTCTGTATTTAGTCACAGCTCTTCTAACACTAACTCCAATTACCTGACCAACACAACAATGCAGGTAATGTTAGCTACAAAACAGACTTTTCTCTTGAAGAGATAATGATGCTTACGATAAAGAAAATATTAAGAGGTACTTTAAAATTGGTGCCACAAAGCGAGTGGTAACTGGTTAACTCTTCATTTGTATTGCTGCCCTGTTATTTCCATTAACCTAAATCTCTCCATGAGACTTTTTTGGGAAAGTTGTCTTCCCCTCTACTTGCATGGCCTGATCTTATTTATCTGCTTCTTATTCTAACTGGTCTTTAAAGCCAGATTATTGACACTTAGAAAGGAAGGGGTTGGTATGAGATAGTGGGCGGGGGGGTGGGGATGTCTGACTAATAGCAATGGAATGATGACTTTAGTAATGAAGAATTGTAAGGACGATTTCCCTGATGTTCTGCTAACAATAAGATATATTAAGCTCTGAAATACTCTCCCAAGAGAAGTGGCAGAAGCCCCATTGCTTGAGACTGCAAAAACAAGATCAGGCAAAGCACTAGAAAGTGTCCTGTAGGCAATAATTCTGCATTTCTGACTAATAGCAATGGAATGATGACTTTAGTAATGAAGAATTGTAAGGACGATTTCCCTGATGTTCTGCTAACAATAAGATATATTAAGCTCTGAAATACTCTCCCAAGAGAAGTGGCAGAAGCCCCATTGCTTGAGACTGCAAAAACAAGATCAGGCAAAGCACTAGAAAGTGTCCTGTAGGCAATAATTCTGCATTTTTAGGGAGATGGACTGAGGTATGGAAAAATCTAAAGATTAGATTACTACTTTCTATACTCGTGCAGAAAATGAAATGGGAAGATGAGTCCACAGTAAGTGTATGCTGGCCTTTTAAAACTGAGGCAGAGAGTCTCCAGGTATATTATATTACAAAGACAGCTGTGAATCTCCCCAAAATGTCTGTGAAAAGCTGCATGCCTGTTGTAGGCTGTGCCTGCTGTATTCCTGCAAAAGCTGGATCACCAGCAGATATCTGGGCAAGGAACAAACCTCAGGGAAGGTCATTTTCTGTTTTGAGGCTTAACTCAATCATTTAGTTTGGTTGCCTTTTGGATCTTGCCACCAGACTTCTGCGGGAGGATACAAGTTCTCCAGGGCTGGGGTATGCCTAAGACAGACCCACATGCACCTTTGGTGAGAGGCCATAAGATTTGTTTTTAGATGAAAAACTCCATCAGCATAACCCTCTAGCAACAGCAGTTGGCTGCATCCACTATACATGAGGTCCCTAGCAATGATCTTACTTCATCTGAGGGACAGCCCACGGACACTTGCCTTATAACAGATTAAAAACCTGACACTTATCTTCACATCCCCACCACATGCCTCCTGCTCCCTCTATGTCTTTGCTCTGTTTGCAACTGTGCTAATAGCAGGTTAAAATGGACAACTCTCCCATTTTCTGAAGCACTCTCTGGGTCTGCCAACATTTCCAATTCAATGTGACTCCATTGCTCAGCACATAGAGCTGAGTGGCAGGAAAGCACAACACAGAAACTAGAGGGGAGACAATGTAAGGAGAAGGGGAAACAAAACTGAGTACGTAACAGAATAGAGAAGAGATAAAGACAATAAATACATAAATCTCAAACAGAGGACATACTGAGAAAGCACTTACTAGCAATTGAGAACAGGAAGGAGTGAGAAAGCAGATTCAGAAAGACCACAGAAAATGAAATCAGAGGACAAGGACACAAAAAGTTCACAACAAATGTGTCAAACTGTTAACATTACATTTTTGGTGCATCTAAACATAAGACAATTGGAACATCTAAATTTTGAGCTGGGGATGCCTTAGTAAGGGATATCAAATTGTCCATATTTACAATTAATATTAGGAGTATCTAATTTTGTATTGATGGGAGGAGTCATTTGTAGTTTGAAACAAAACAAAAAAATTAGTTAGACCCTTTGGATGAAATCCTGACCCCAACTGAAGTCAATGAGAGTTTTGCCACTGACTTCAATGTGACCCGGATTTCACACTTCAAGCTTAAAAGCCAATTAATTGTTAAACTCTGTCTAAGTCATTGTGTGGCTCTTTGGTCACTACCTGTTGATATAAAATAATCAGAACAGCTACAATGTTAATATGGCTAGATTAAATAAAATAAATTGGGGGGGAATCTAGTTAATTTTTTAAAGATTAATATATCAGTTCTGCTCCCTTTACCCATGGTGAGCAGTACCTTATATTGTGAGCAGTCTGGAATAATAGAGAGTGGCAAAATATGGTTCTAGGTTATAAACATCAAGCCTTGCACTTAGGAAATGACTTTTCCTCTATAGCTTGTTTTATTGACTATACCCTTATTAAACACTATAATCTAAATTAATGGGCATGGTAACAAAATGACTCAGACAGAGTTTGACCTTTGGGATTAAACCCTGAGACTAATGTTGAAGAAGATGCTACTCAGTGTGAGTAAGGGATTTCAGGATCTGGCTCTATGCTTTCAGGAAGAAATCCACATTATGAACAAAGTGTGCAGCGAGGAAAACAGTAAAGGAACAGCGTTTGGACAGGCCCACATTTTTGAAGAAAATGCTCAGAACAAATACTACAGCGTTCTTCGCTGTGCGAGACAAACCCAGCCCGGATTGACATTTGGTGATACCGAGTACGGAGTTATCCTTTGATTACACTGCAAGCCAATTTTCTGGTTCCAATATGCCTTCAACATCCCTTTTGATCAAAGCTTCATAGGAAGCAAAGGGTAACTATAGCGGATTCTTGCTGTGCAGAGCATTCATACCACAACGCTATTAACACTAGATAGGAAATCAGTAGCCTCTACCTGTTCCCCGGGTGAGTGGCAAGCTGCACAAAGGCTACAGGGGCTCGGAGTATCCTGAACCCTTTGGGTGTGACATCAGTAGCTGCTTCGGTCTCCTCCTGCCAGCTCCTGGGAAGCAAGAAGGTAGACAAAGTTGTCAAACACTGTAATGAACGTTACGGTGCGTGAGCCGGTCCCGCTCCATGAATCATTAATACTCTGCAAAGCCTGCGAGCCAGAATCGCCCGGCAGAAGCAGAGCGAGCGCGGTGCCGCGGCGGCTGCTGTGCACAAGGGAGGAGGGAGTCGCGCTCCTTGTTTTCCAGCGGCATGGCCGAGGCTGGGCTCTCTGCTCTCCGGAATCCCAGCATCTCGTGGCCCGGAGTCCGCCGGCCAGGGAGCAGGAGCCGCCACGCTGCTGCCAGCCCCGCCTAGAGCTCGGGGCTGGCTTCGGCCGCGCCCCGCCGCGAGGCTCGGTACCTGGTGCGCAGGGCCCCGCGCGCCGCGAGCCGGAGCAGGCACGCGAAGAGCAGCAGGCTGCTGAGCGCCGCGGGGAAGGCGATGCCCGCCCGCATCTCTTGCCGGCTCCGAGCAGCTGCGCGGCGCGTCTGAGCGGGAGCAGCGCCCGCTGCCGCTAAGCCGGCCCCATAGTATTTAAGGGGGCAGGCGGGGGGGGGGGGAGAGCAGCCACAGGGGCTCTGCTCCGCCCCTCCCAGTTCCGGTGCGGGGGGGCCCAGTGCTGCCACCACCCCACCCCACTCCACCTCCGCTGCTGACATCCCAAGCCCCCTCCCCCCCCCCGCCTGAAGCATCCGCCTTTCTCTCCTGGAGTCACCGGGGGCTGCAGAGCCCCAGCTCCCCTGGGCAGGCAGCAGCCCCCTGCTCTGCAAGGGGCGGTGCCCCTACACGCCTGCCAGCGGGGGGAGCTGGGGTGAGCAGGGGGGAGAGCTGCCCCTGGCGATGGCTCCCCGCCTCCTCCCCCTCAAGGTGTTTCATGCTCTGCCTGCTGGGTGCTAACATGGCAGGACTCTAAGTGGCTGGCATCCTGCCAGGTGCTCCCCCCCCCCCCCATGGAAGCGCCTCCCCTCAGACTCCCTCTTTATTTTTTTCAAATCCAGCGCTGCCTTGGGAGCCCAGACACAGCCCTGTGCAGGGCTCCTGTGTTGCCCACATGCTCACTGCCACTAACCAGGACCCCTCCAACCAGCATGTTCATCCAGCACCCAGTACAGGCTGGCACCGTGCCTCCCCTCTCCCAGCCCCTCTGCCCTGCTCCCTTCTCTGGTAGGATTCCCACTCTTGTTCCCTCTCACCCTCCCTCCTTGCATCCTGCCTCAGAGGCAGGAAGCTTCCCCCCCCACTCCCCCAAGTCTGAACTCAGCCCTCTCTGGCCTGGCAAAGTTTCCCTCCCAGGAAACAGTCTTGGTTCCTCAGCCCATCAGTCCCTGGGAGGGTGCTGGCAGGGACGCCTTCCTGTCTGCCTTGCCTTTGCCATCATCTCTTAGCTGTCCTTACTGCTGCCTCTGCCTTCCCATTGCTTTGGGGGTACCCAGGAGAAGTCTTGTATTCTAATTCCCCTTTGGAGCCGGATTGTTTGATTTTTGCTGTGGCCCAGTGTCTGAGCATAGTGTGTCAGGTATGCCTGACCCTGACAAAAGCAGCCTTCAGTTTCTCGATCACAGTTCTTGCCTCAGTGTCCTCTTGATAGTCCATCTTTTAGAAATGGAAGTAGTAACCTACTGAGCCTCCATGGTTGCTGTCATGAGCAGTGAATAGATCTGTTCTCACTTTTTTCCAAGATTGGGTGGGGATTTCATGGGGTTGTAGAATCTCCTAAATCTGTAGTTAATCACTCTACTCTTTGCAGACCTCACAGTGTTGTGTCCACTCTTACTTTGGCTTTCCTGCCTGGCCAAGAATGCCAAAACATGTCTGCCCTCACCTCAGGAATGTGTCTATATTTAGGTGTGAAGTATGTATCTGTCTCATGATGTAAGCCCTTTCATTTGCGGGGAGTCCACAGTTCTGTCCACTTGAAAAAAATCCCATCTTGCACACACAGCTCCTCCCTCCTGCAGTGGTAGGGGATAACCTCCCCTGGCACTTGCTCCTTGCAATCTGGTCAACCCTACAGTGTGAATCATTTTACTGCCCTTTTGTGTCCCATCTTGTTGGATTGCTTGGTGCCTCCCATCAGAGATGCCAAGTAATTGTCACATGTGGCTAGATACTCTTTCCTGTTCCACAGAGCCATCTGTGTTGTGCTCAGGAAGTATGACCTGCCCAGTATGACCTGGCCACAGAAGAGAGAGACTGTGCAGGTAGTATCTTATGCCTACAGCACAGTGCTGCAGTCTCAACAGCACACATTATAGTTTCTTGGTGCATTCAGCAGTGGCTTGTTCATGTTGCCATCTAATGGCTTGTGATCAGACTGCACATATACCCTGTGCCCAGAGGTGAAGTGATGGAATTGTTCCATTACAAAGAGCACAGCCAGGAACTCCTCTTCTAGCAGAACATTTCCCCATTCTGGGTCTGTCAAGGCTTTACTAGCAAATGCTGTGAGCTGCAGGTGACATCAGTGCAGCTCCTAAGCTTCCTTCGGAGCATCACACTGTATCTCTAGCATTTAGGACCAGTGTCTGGCTTATGTTTTTTTTTACTCCTTTCAAGTGTTTATTCTTAGGTCGCTGACCATTCCCAGGCTGCTTCATATAGGGTGTTAACTATCTCAGAGGTTCATAGGCTGCTTACAGGTGTATGCAGAATTTGGAAAGATAGTTACCCATCCCTGGACTCCCTTCACCCCCTTTGGTCTGTCCTTAATGTCTCAGTTTGTCAAGGTTCTGCCAAAGTCCCTTGTAGTCAATAGATATCTAGCATAGGGAACCTCAGGTTCCTCAACTTCACCTTGCCTATATTCAGCTTAACACACTACTCCTAGCACCTGGGGAGCCGTTGTCACAACTTGATAGCATGGTCCTGGATCAGTGGTGGGAAACCTGAAGGCTGAGGGTCTCATGCAGCCCATTGGGGTTCTGTGTGTGGCCCAGAAGACATTTTGTTTATACCTGCTCAAACACAGGGTTGCCAGATTCTGCCAGATTTTCACCCAGGTCATTTTTTTCCTACTGGTAAGCGACACGCACGTAAAGCAATGACAAGTGAACGAGGTGCGTGCTGATTGCACACAATATTGTCTGAGTCGTGCACTCCCTCTGCGTCCACTCGAAGTGTTGCTACACCTCAGTCAGCACCACTACCATCCAAGTTCTAGGTACACAAGCACAGCCAACAAAACTACCCTATCTCAGGTGACCATCTTGGTTACAGTCTTGCGGCCCTCTGAGATGAATGAGGGCCACCCATGCAGCCCACCCAATAGCCTAGGTTCCCCTCACAGTCCTGGATCAATATATCCTTGCCATCATTGTAACAGGGTGGTCTACCTCCTTAAGGCCAGTGGCCCTGAGACCAGACATCCCTGTTTGAGTGTCAGATACAGATGGGAAGGAGTCCAATGCAGCTTATGAAGGGCTGCGAGAGCTTATTTGGGAGAAGAACTACAGGAGGCAGGTTGACTCCTGTGCCAGGCTGGAGAGAAAGATCTCTACACTGTGGCAGAAGACCTAGCTTAGGGTAAAAGACGGAGTTCATAAGTGAAGTTTCTGAAGAATAACTTTATTACATTTGAAGAATAAACTACATTCTGAAGGCAGGCCTGAATGGATTTGGGGCATGGTGTTAGTCTTTCTTATATAAGGGCTGGGAAATAGGCCATCGGGCCTGCAATCTTCTGCAATTGTCATCAGCTGTGGTCTTGATGCCTGGTGTCTCTCTAATGCCTGGCACAGTACTCACTAACTTATCAGATGTTTAATGCTTATAATAAATTACCTTACTATTAAGAGAATTATTTACAAAGGTGCTGCAAATGCAATTTGCATTCAGGCCAAGTGCCAACAGAGTGACTTCTGACTCTAAACTTTTCCCTTCAGCAGCCTGTGCTCCTCCCTTCAAGTTTCATACAAGTTGCACAAGAAAGTGTCTCTGGGACAGATGTATCTTCAGATGTATTCATGGTATCTGCCTCAGGGATGGGACACAGAGATGGGCCCTCGTTCTCCCACTTCCCCAATTCTTCTGCACATCTGCAATCATCCTCCCCATGCTCCCATCCCTCCGAGGTGCTGATGCCAATTCCACCCTGTTCCCCTTAGCTGTTATCCCTCCATTCACACTCAGAATGACTTCCACACTCTTCAGACTGCACCTCCCCTTAGTGAGCTGGGAGTGTTTTGGAAGATGGGGAGTGATACATGGGTATGTGTGTGTGTGTGGAGGTGCTCAGAGGATGAGGCTGGGATTAGAGGGGGAGTATGGTAGGGAGCATATTACTCCTTAGAGATCTCTAGGAACATCTCCCTCACTCCCTGTCCCCTTTTCATGATAAGAAGAGTATAGACAGTGGTGCATTTAGAGTTAGCAGGGCCCTGTGTGCAGCTTCATTTTCAAACCCTTCCCCACATTGAGATCCAGCCAAGGAAAGGAACATTTTCTCCCTTATCTCTCCCCTCGCCCATTTTCATTTTTTTTCTTCAGCCTTCTCCTATATTATACATAAGAAGAAGTAAATGGAAATAAAGTGAGATACCTTGATTGGGGAAGGGTGTTGGGATGCAAGGGGGGACAGAGGTTGGGCTCTGGGAGGGGGTTTGGGGGCTGGCTGTGGGCCATGGGCCAGGGCAGTGGGTTGGAGTTTTGGAGGGGCTGCAAGAGTCAGGATCTAGGTGGGAACTTGAGTGCTGGTTGCAGGCTTTGACCTGGGGCAGAGGGTTGGGAGAGAGGCTTGGAAAGAAATTGTTGATGGTCTATGCTCCCATAGGAGCTAAGGGCAAGGAAGAGGGTTGGGAGGGACAGGAGAGAGTAAGGGAGAGTGATGCTTATGTCAGGTGATGCGGCTCCCAAAGCAACCAGCACACCCTTCTGATAGCAGCTCCTAGGTAGAGGGTCTACATGTGCTGCTGCCTGCAGGTGTTGCTCTGTAGCACCCATTGGCTGCAGTTCCCAGTCAATGGAAGCTGTGGGATTGGAACTCAGGGCAGGAACAACGCATGGAGACATCTCCCACCCCTAAGAGCCACAAGGCTGTGCTGGCCACTTCCAGGAGACAAGATGCCACTTCAGCCCTGCTGCACTGCTGCTCACACATCTCTGCATGCCCCTTGCAGGGAAGTGGGACAGTAGGTCTCAGTGCATTGCCCCTGCCCTGGACAGCACCCAGGGCCATGTCTCCCTTCTCCCTCTGCTCACCCACCAGGAGCCTGCAGAGACATGCCAGCGGCAGATTGCTTCTGGGAGTGACATAGGGTCACCAGCTCTCGCATGCAGGCAGACTACCTGCCCAAGCCCTGCTGTGCTGCTGGCCAGGACGTGGGAGCAGGTTGCCAGATGAGATTTGTCCTGATGCTGCATTTTGGGGGAATCTGCTGTTACGGCTCCTGTACCACTGCATGATTTGTTTCATGGTAAATCTACTCCTGGACTCAAAGTGCAGGGTGAGGGAAGACATGTATCTAAAGCAGTCTCAGGTGTGTGACACCAGCTGTGCTCCTGGAAGCTTCTCCATTCAGTGACTCCCCTGAAGTTCTCAGGTATGGAGTC